CGTATCGTTCCGCGCCGCTTGCCTTATAACCTCTTCATCCCAAGCGAGTGGCGATTCGTGGCGGGGAGAGATGAGGAGGGGGAGGAAGGCAACGAAAGCGAGAGGAGGGAGGAGGGGAGAAAGAGGGAAAGGAGAAGAGAAGGGGTGGTCCACTTTCTCCGGTCCGGACCACCCTTCTCGATTCGATCTTCCTCCGACAAGGGGAAGGAAGGAAGGATGATCAACACGAGTGTAATTATTTCTTTGCAAATATTTAGAGACGCGAGCCGGTACGCAAATGCCGGTTAATTGCGTCACCCGTTTACCACTTCTTTAATAATACGTTCTTAACGCCGTCTCTCGCCCTGTCCTCGCCGTGTATCCCTTTAATTGCCGCCGTTTATCCACCGCAATTATACGCGGTACACTCTAATCCGTTTATTACCGCCGTTCTTGCTTTACTCTTTTTCCAAGTTCGCGTTTATCAAGGCCGGATTAAAACGAACTGCGTCGCCTTTATTAAACGCTCAATTTAGCATCGTCCTTCCGCCACGAGAACGCTGCAACGTCCCTCGACTTTTTCTCTTATCCCTCCCTCTCATTGTTCGATGTGAAAGTGAATGCGCGTTGAATTTCATTCTCCTCGTCTCGAGAATTTTTAGAGGATTTGGCGGAAACAAGATCGGAAGCAAACTCGTCGAATTATCTCGAGTTAATTTTATTGTTAAATTTGCCGTGAAAAACAGCGCGACGATTGACTCGTAGAAGATTAGAGAAGCGAGGGGGGAAGAAGGAAGGAAATCGGAAAGAAGCGGAAAGAAGGTCTAGTCGGCCGCATATTTTGGGAGTCGAGCACAGTAATTTCAAATGCGCTTAACTTAAAAGCATTTATCTGTAACCGTATTATTACAAGGGCAGGACTACGATAATTCGTTTCGATGTTGCTCGAAAGAGGATTTACCTGTCCCGGGGCTGGAAACGCTGGCCCGGGCGACGCGTCCAACCTTCGTCTCTCTCTCTTTCCCCCTTTCGGCACGGTAGGCGGTGGACCGAAATCTCCTCCTCCATTCACCGGTTTCGATACTAATCGCAAGGTCATCGAGGATTCCCTGCAGAGGGCTCGATAATCTCGCAGCAGGACCCTTCCTTCCCTCGCCCCACGAAAGGATTCGTATCGTGCGCGAGCATCGAGCAGACGTAGCTCACTTTTCCCATCCCGTTCCCTCTTCCTTACTGTTCCACCTTATCTCCTCTTCAACTATACTTTTCTCCTCCGTATTATTTTCTTCCGTTTTTCGCGTTGCACAGCTGTGTTTCGTATACCTGTGTCTTCCTATTTTTTTCTTCTTTCTTTCTTTCTTTCCTCCCTCCTTTCCCTGTTCATTTTTTGGTCGAAATCTGACGCCATAAATCAGAGGGATTACAAAGCATCGAGCGGAGATTGCAGCTTGTTTTGGGTCCTCCGGGACGGAGAGAAACTTTGTATCGGTCGCCGGTATAGAAAAATGAAACGCTGTTCATGCATTATTCAGACCCCTTTTAGCCATTCTACCCCCCTCCCTCCCAGGTTACAACAACCTTCGATGATACGTGCCGCTGTTCATGCGGCTTCTCTCCGCCTGATTTGTCTTTCGGCCTCACGGTGAAATTTTATACACCCCCGGCACGAGAGGGGGACTCGCCCACTCTCGATGATTGCCTATTAGCAACACGATACGCGTGTAAATTTATACAAGAATGTGAGACCTCTCCACGTATTCGACGCTACGTGAAAATTAATAACGTCATATGTTTCTAACCGGTCCAGTTATATCTGGATAATGTTATTTTTTCAGTAAATATCGCGTCATAACTACTCTTATCGATTATAAATAAAATCATTTTAAAAATATACTTATGCATATTTAACATTAATTAAAAAGAAATCGAAGTAAGAATTTTCTTTTCCCTTCGAAACGAAAATTTAAAATCTACTTGTAACGATTCGTCGTAATAATTTCATTATATATATATATATATAAGTTTGAGTTGAGATTGTTCGAAATGAAATAACGTTGTTTCCTAAGAACTTCTTTTTCCATTGTGACCGAAGTGAAAATTGGATCAAAGAGCCGGAAGGACGGGAAGGGAAGGCGGCAACAAAACGCGCCTTCTTTCGCACGATGAAAATCGCGCGCGAAAGAAATAATAAATGGTATTTATATTCGCGGGCACGGAATTTGAATTTACCCAATGTAAAAAAGAAAAGGGAGGGGGG